TCTGCTGATTTAAATGTTAACCTTAGGCCGGGCGCGATGGCTCACATCTGTAATCCCAGCACTTTGGGAGGCTGAGGTGGGTGGATCACAAAGTCAGGAGATCGAGACCATCCTGGCTAATAAGGTGAAACCCCGTCTCTACTAAAAATACAAAAATTAGCCGGGTGTGGTGGCGGGCACCTGCAGTTCCAGCTACTCGGGAGGCTGAGGCAGGAGAATGGCGTGAACCCAGGAGGCAGAGCTTGCAGTGAGCTGAGATTGTGCCACTGCACTACAGCCTAGGCAACAGAGCGAGACTCTGTCTCAAAAAATAAATAAATAAATAAATAAATAAATAAATAAATAAATAAATAAAGTTAACCTTAGCCAGGTGCAGTGGTTTACGCCTGTTTGCCCAGCACTTTGGGAGGCCAAGGCGGGCGGTTCATTTGAGCTCAGGTGCTCAGGTCAACATGGCGAAACCCCATCTCTACTAAATATATAAAAATTAGCCAGGCATGGTGGGTTGTGCCTGTAGTCCCAGCTACTCAGGAGGCCTAGGCACAAGAATCACTTGAACCCAGGAGGTGGAGGGTGCAGTGAACTGAAATTGTGCCACTACACTCCAGCCTGGGTGACAGAGCAAGACTCTGTCTCAAAAATAAGAGTACGACAAATGTGCATGTTTGTTTATAGTCACATAAAGTCATTCTGGAAGGATACATAAAAACTAAAGATAGACGTTCCCTATTAGAGATGTGCTGGGAACAAGAAAATTTTTCACTTTTTATGTGTTTTTTAAAAATCATATATATGTTTTATCTATTGAAAACATTAAGTAACAAAGTTTAAATAACCTTGCATGCCTTCCTCTCCTGTAGGGTTGTGAACACTGGAGGGAACAAATCATATTTTATACTCACTTTTGTATTCCTGGTATTTAGTACGTAGTAGGTACTCAATAAATATTAGAGGAAAGAACAAATGAATGAACCAGAAGATAGCGGATTTAGTGTCAGTTAGAGAGAGGAGAGGGGCCAAGCACTGTAATCCCCAGCACTTTGGGAGGCCGAGGCAGGAGGCTCACTTGAACATAGGAGTTGGAGACCAGCCTGGGTAACAAAGCGAGATCCTGTCTCTACAAAAAAAAAAAAAAAAAAAAAAAAAAAAAAAAAAAGACCAGGTGCAGTGGCTTACACCTGTAATCCCAGCACTTTGGGAGGCCGAGGTGGGTGGATCACCTGAGGTTAGAAGTTCGAGACCAGCTAGATCAACATGGTGAAACACCATCTCTACTGAAAATACAAAAATTAGTTGGGCGTAGTGGCAGGTGCCTGTAATTCCAGCTACTCAGAAGGCTGAGGCAGGAGAATCGCTTGAACCTGGGAAGTGGATGTTGCAGTGAGCCGAGATCATGCCACTGCACTCCAGCCTGGACGACAGAGCGAGACTCCGTCTCATTAAAAAAAAAAAAAAAATTAGTTGGACATGGTGGTATACACCTGTCTTCCCACCTGTTCAGGAGGCTGAGGTGGGAAGATTGGTTGAACCTGGGAGGCCAGGGTTGCAGTTAGCCAAGATTGTGCCACTGCACTCCAGCCTGGGCAACAGAGTAAAACCCTGTCTCTAAAAAAGAAGGGTGTTATGGCTGGGCGCCACCGGCGGCTCACGGCTGTAATCCCAGCACTTTGGGAGGCTGAGGCTGGTGGATCACCTGAGGTCAGGAGTTTGAGACCAGCTTGACCAATATGGTGGAACCCCGTCTCTACTAAAAATACAAAAATTAGCCAGGCGTGGTGGCACATGCCTGTAATCCCAGCTACTGGAGAGGCTGAGACAGGAGAATCACTTGAACCAGGGAGCTGGAGGGTGCAGTGAGCCGAGATCGCACCACTGCACTCCAGCCTGAGTGACAAAGCAATACTCTGTCTCAAAAAAAAAAAAAAAAAAAAGAAAGAAAAAATTTTTAAAAATTTAAAAATAAGGGAGTTATTATCTTATCTAATGTAATCACAAAAGTTGACATCCTATCACATTTGCTGTATTCTACTTATCAGAAGCAAGTCATTAAGTCCAGCCTATATTCAAGGAAAGGGATACACATGGGGGTGACGACCAGGAGTCAGGGATTACTGGGAGCCACGTTAGGAGCTGTCTACCACAAGGAGGAAAAAGCAATGGAAGGATGAAATCTAGGATGGTGGTTATATCTGAGTGGAAGCAAGGGGGAGATGCAAGAAGCACATGGCAGGTGTAAGTTATTTGTAATAATTCCATTCTTGGGGCAGGAGGTGGGTTTATAGGTGTTCATAAGTGAGTTGATTATGGACAAATGGGGAGAGAGTGTCATGAACAAAGGATTATATTTAGTCCCATTCAGCAATATTTAAAATATTCAATAATAAATGAAATAAAAATTGCTGACTACTCCTGACCTTGTTCTGAGCCCCATCCACGCGCTCCACCTGGTCTTAGGTTAACACTGGCTCCACCTGACCCTCCACTTGCCCTGAACTAACCATTAGCCCTTCACACACACTGACCCTTGCTCTAGCACCATAATCTCTCCATAGTCTGCAATGTGCCCCCAGAGTTCTATTTTCTGAAACTTTTATCCATGTAACCTCACCTGTAGGCTGCTATATGTAAAGCTAGTAGGAATGGCTGATAGAGTGGCCCAAGGACCAGGAGACAGGGCAGGCTAATAGTTCTGCCTTAGCAGTAGCACTGTGGGCCCAGAATACAGGTTTGATGACTGGTGTCACAACCTCACCTGTTGGCCTCCTGCATGGCAGAGGCTGGGCCAGGTCCTGAAGGTTCTTCCTCTTTGAGGCCTCTGCTCCTGGTATCCAGATATAGCTAAGTCTGTCTCTGAGAAGTGCACCTCTGCCACAGCACCAGGCCTATAACTCCCTTGTTGGTAGCAGATTATCAACTCTCTCCCTTCCTGGCTTTGATGAAGTAAGCTACCATACTAGAGATGGCCATGTGTCAAGGAAATGACAGTGGCCATCAGCCAACAACCAGTAAAACACTAAAGCCTCTAGTCTGACAGCCCACTAGGAAGTGAATTGAGTCAACAACCAAGTAAGCCTGAAAGCCTAGATCCTTCCCCAGTTGTGCCTTCAGATGAAACTGCAGTTCTGGTTGGCCCTTTGCTTCCAGCCTTGTAGGAAAGAAACACTGAAGCAGAGGACCCAGCCAAGCCTTGCCTGGACTCTTGACCCACAGAAAATGTGAGATATAATAATAAGTATGTGTTGTTCTAAGCTGTTAAATTGGTGGTAATTTGCTACATAGTAAGGGATAACTTGTATAGGTTCTTTTCAATTCTTTTGCTATTACAAAGAGTGCTCCTATAGGCTAGATATGGTGGCTCATGCCTGTAATCCCAGCACTTTGGGAGGCCAAGGCAGGTGGATGATTTGAGGTCAGGAATTTGAGGCCAGCCTGGCCAACATGGTAAAACCTGTCTCTACCAAAAATATTAAAAATTAGCCAGATGTGGTGGCATGTGCCTATAATCCCAGCTACTTGGGAGGCTGAGGCAAGAGAATCGCTTGAACTCAGGAGGTGGAGGTTGCAGTGAGCCGAGATCGTGCAACTGCACTCCAGCCTGGACGACAGAGCGAGACTCCATCTCAAAAAAAAAAAAAAAGAAAAAACAAACAAACAAAAAGATTGTTGCTATGAACGTTGCTGTTACATGTCTCCCACAACACAGGACACAAGAGGCTAGGTTTCCCTTGGGTATGTGCTGAGTATATGCCTAGGAACAGAATTGTTGGATCTCAGGATGTTTGTTTTGTTTTGAGACAGAGTCTCATTATGTTGCCCAGGCTGGAGTGCAGTGGTGTGATCTTGGCTCACTGAAACCTCTGCCTCCCAGCTTCAAGCAATTCTCCTGCCTCAACTTCCCAAGTAGCTGGGATTACAGGTGTCTGTCACCACGCCTGGCTAATTTTTTGTATTTTTAATAGAGATGAGTTTTCACCATGTTGGCCAGGCTGGTCTTGAACTCCTGACCTCAAGTGACCCACCCGCCTTGGCCTCCCAAAGTGCTGGGATTACAGGCCTGAGCCACCACGCCCCGATGGATCTTAGGATTTACAAATGTTCCACATTACTGGTAGTCAGAAAACCATTAAAGTTAGGGTCACGCCATGGCTGTAGTGTGTGGGCCAGGGTTAGGAGTAAAGCTTGGCCTCAATCCATTGAAGTTGGGATCATCTGTGGGCAGGGTTGGAGTTGTACAGGAGCAGGGAGGACAGTCCTACAGAGGGCTGGGTTAGGGGTCATACATAGGGTTGACCGTGAGTGCGTGGCAACATTTGGGAAGAATCTGAAACCTGGGTTTGAGGTTGGGTTTGGACAAGGTTGGAGAACACTGTGAGGGTGGGTTTGGGGGTCAATCTAAGGCCAGGGTTAGAAGTTAGGCTGTGGCGGGGTGCGGTGGCTCACGCCTGTAATCCCAACACTTTGGGAGGCCAAGGCGGGTGGATCACGAGGTCAGGAGATCGAGGCCATCCTGACTAACATGGTGAAACCCTGTCTCCACTAAAAATACAAAAAAAAAAAATTAGGCGTGGTGGCGGGCACCTGTAGTCCCAGCTACTCAGGAGGCTGAGGCAGGAGAATGGCGTGAACCCGGGAGACGGAGCTTGCAGTGAGCTGAGATCTCGCCACTGCACTCCAGCCTGGGTGACAGAGCGAGATTCCGTCGCAAAAAAAAAAAAAAAAAAAAAAAAAAAAAAAAAAAAAAAAAAGTTAGGCTGTCATCCTGCCCATAACCTGACCCCTGGTGATATCATCAACCTACCAAGCTGTGGCCACACAGGACCCAGCCACCCACAAGATGAGACCCACTCTGGGTCCAGAAAGCTCTTTCACTCAAGGCGGAGGTGGGAGATCGAGGACAAGGGAAGCAGAAACTCGCTCCCCTCAGAGATCAATGCAGAAAGAGAAGGCAGGCACAGGAAATGGAACAGAACACTAACTTTAATGGGGCAGCCCTGAGCCTTATCCTTCAAACCTTCCCCCTCAGTACTCCGTGTGGGAGGAGGGAGGGGCGACTGCTACAGGCACATTGTTGATGTCCTCCCTTCTCCTGGCGATCCCACTCCTCACCCTTTCCTCTCCAGCTGCTGCGGTCTCCATCGCCGAGGTGGGTCCCAGGTAAGCTCCCAGGAGGGGCAGGGGAGCCCCTCAGCGACCCAGGGCAGATTCCCCCATGGCTGAGGGCATGGGGAACTAGCCCGGGTGGAGACGCAGCCGTCCTCGGAGCTGCGCGGGTACCTGATTCTGGGGGTGTGGACAGAGCCAGGGGACCGCCCCCCAAGGCCCAGCGCGGGGGGCTGTAAGGCCGGGCCCGAGGTGTTGGACACAGCTTTGGGGGCAGGCTAGGTCTCTGCACGTGGCTTCTGGGCTCTGGAAAGCGGTCCATTCTCCTGACCCGGATGGAGTGGGAGGAGGCGGCTCAGTCCCGGGCCTCCGCTCCCAGAGTTCCTGTCCCACCTCCTCCCACGCTCACCCATCCCAAGGAAGGAGGGCACTCGGGCCCCAAGAGGCTCCTGAGAGCAGCGGGCTCCGCCCTCCCAGTGGTCTGTCCATCGGTGGGCGGGTCGGGCGCGGAGTCGGGGCTCTGGCGGGTACCGGAGCGTCCCCGCGCGGCCCGGGCAGCCGCTCACCGCTGCTTCCGCTCTGCCTGCTGGAGCCGCCGGGAGAGGTCTTCGATCCGCACGTTCTTGAGCTGGAGCAGGTGCTCCAGGCGCCTTACCTTCATCTGCAGGACCTAAGCCGCGCCGCACAAGGGTCAAGTCCGGCGGCCTGCTCCCTCCTACCTGGCCTCTGCTAGCCACGACTCCCCACCCGCAGCCTTCCTAGACCCCTCACCTGCACGGTCTCCTGCGAGGCCAACAGCTCCTGCTCCTTTTCAGCGATCTGGAGGACGAAGCTCGGGTCGCCCTGCAACGCCTGGTTATACGCCGGAGGCCGAGGCGCCGGCGGCCGTACCCCGCTGGGGTGGGAAGCAGCTTAGCGGAGGCTTGGACCTCGGGCCCTACACTCACCCTTCCAGTGCCCTCGACCAGGCCTTCCCTTCTCCCCCTCTAGCCCCTTTCGTGCCTCAAGCTCAGCCTACCCTGCCCCCCAACCCCAGCTGTGTGCAGAGATCACCAGCCTGATGAAGTCGGGAACTCCCAGCTTCTTTACCTGAGCTGACCCTCTCCCTGGGGGTCCAGGGCACCTTCACCTCGGGCCTTCTGGGATAAACCTGAGACAAGGCAAGTGGAGGAATGACTGTGCTGGAGTCTCACTTTCCTGCTTCCCTGGCCCCAGTTCCACTCTCACAAGCGACAGGAAGAAGGACAGAAGGAAAGCTCCACTGGGGAGGAAGAAATGGAAAAGGCCACCTTACCCACATCCATGTAGCCACTGCCATCCTGGGGAGCCAGCTCCTGAAAGAACCCCGGGGTCCGCTGTGAGCCCAGGCTCAGTCATCCCCAAGGAGCCCTATGTCCCTTCCACCGGCCCCCAGGCCAGACTCTATTAGCCAAGCACCCCTCCCCCACACTTATCACCCAGGCTGGCCTTTCTGTGGTCCGGGGAGTGCCCCCCACCCAGCCCCCAGAGCAGTGGGAGAAGCTCGAGCGGGGTGGCACCTGTAAGGAGCCAGTGCCCTGCTTCCTGCGCCTCTGCCTCTCCTCCAGGCGCTGCCTCAGCGGTATAAGCACCAGCTCCACCACACCTGGGGCGCACTCTGCGATCTTGCGCATCACGTCATCCGGTACTGAAAAGTTCAGCCTCTTCAGCACCTTCCTGAGGGGTAGACACAGGGATAGCGGATTGGGTCCTGGGGAAATGAAGCGAGGGGACGGGGGAGAGGGAAGGGGGCATGGTGGTTGCAGTTCTGAGTGCACAGCCCTGGGGGAGTGGAAGGGCATTGCATCTGAGCTTCCTTGTGTGGGTGTACCGAGGTTCCTTGCCTCCTTCCGAATAGAATAGTCTTTTCATTTTGTAATCGGACGAATTCTGTCTGCGTTGACCCTCCCCACCCTGCCACCAAAACAGTCTCAGCCTGGGCAACCAAGACCATAGGAGATGATGGGGCTGGGGTAGTCCTTCCTGGGAACCCAGAGTGGGGACTAGAGATTCCCACTCCTGCACCCAGGTATTCTGTTACCTGTTCAGATGACCCCAGTTGCTGAGTTTCTGCTGGAGAGAGTTGGCGGGGACATAATTGTGCATCTCCACCATCTTGGGGAAGTAAAACTTGATGACCTCTGCAACTAGGACTGAGGGAGAGGGGAGCAGATATGGAAGGTGGGGGCATGGGTAAGGAAGAAAGAGGGGAGAGAAGGTGGGTGGGAGAATCAGGCATGGCAGAGCAGTGGAACCCAATGGAGGGGTGGAGATGCAGAAAGGGAAGGATAAGGAGGGAGACAAAAACATTAAGATTAGTCATAGGTAGAGGAGACTAAGTCTCCAGCATACCTCAGAGGAGCTGCATCCCTTCCCCATGAATTTAGGAACGGGAATACTGAGTCCCTGGTCCTCTAGTAGAGAATGAGTCAGCCAGCGCAGTGGCTCACATCTATAATCCCAACATTTTGGGAGGCTGAGGCAGGCGTATCACCCGAAGCCAGGAGTTCGAGAACAGCCTGGCCAACATGGTGAAACCCCATCTCTACTAAAAATACAATAATTAGGCCGGGCTTGGTGGCTCAAGCCTGTAATCCCAGCACTTTGGGAGGCCGAGATGGGCGGATCACGAGGTCAGGAGATCGAGACCATCCTGGCTAACACAGTGAAACCCCGTCTCTACTAAAAAATACAAAAAACTAGCCGGGCGAGGTGGCGGGCGCCTGTAGTCCCAGCTACTCGGGAGGCTGAGGCAGGAGAATGGCGTAAACCCGGGAGGCGGAGCTTGCAGTGAGCCGAGATCCGGCCACTGCGCTCCAGCCTGGGTGACAGAGCAAGACTCCATCTCAAAAAAAAAAAAAAAAAAAATACAATAATTAGCTGGGTGTGGTGGTGCATGTAATCCCAGCTACTTGGGTGGCTGAGGCAGAAGAATCGCTTGAACTTAGAAGGTGGAGGTTGCAGTGAGCTGAGATCATGCCACTGCACTCCAGCCTGGGCAACAAGAAAAAAAAAAGAGAGAGAGAGAGAGAGAGAGAACAAGTCTCCAAGAGAGGCTTTCAGGAGCCCAGGGAATTCACATGGATGCATGATACACACACACACACTCCAACACCACAGTTCCAGGAGAGTAAAAGAGTCACATAAGCAGAGACACATGTGATAAGATCTCTCTACATATAGATACATAGGGCAGAATGTGTAGACACATAGAACAAACACATGCTAGGCACACATGTAAAACACACATAAACAGAAGCACAAAAAGCCACATATGCACACAGCCTCCCCAAATATAGAGATGCACAGAAGTACTTGACATGAGATGACAGGTAAGTATTTGTGTCACTGAGACCCCAGGAGACATTCCTAGAAACACAAACACCTTCACAAGCACAAAGAAACACAAGCACACAAACCCCCACAAATACAGGACTAAACATGTCAACACACATATGAACACACACATGTGAACACACACATACTCAGACTCCCACAAGTCAAATATAGAACACATAGCAATGAGTGAGCACATACAGAAATGCACAAATAAATATGCAGACACATATCTTAATCACTAATGTCCCTGGAGGGAGTTAGAGGCACATCCCCCCACATGCACGCAGGATAGAACATGTAGACATACATATATGGGCACACATCGTTCACACACAGATGCAAATAGAAAACAAGCACACACGTCTACAATCTGAAGTCCCAGGAGACAGATTCCTCCCCACCCCTACACGCACACAAAGAGTTTGCACAGAGACCCATCACACACGAACATACAGGACAGAACATGCAGACACACAGGGGCACACACCTCCATCACTAAAGTCCCGGGAGAGGTTTCGCTTGGGCCGGGACAGAGGTATGTTGTCTACCCACAGGTACAGCTGGTGCAGCGCCTCCTCGTCCACGCTGCTCGCCATTGGCGTCCTCAAGGCCTGGCCGCCCCAGCGGTGCTGGGTCCAGCCCCAGCCTCACGACCCTTCAGGCGCTTCCTTTCTTGCCACTGCAGAAGCCCGTAACTGCCTCTGCCTGCCTAATCCAGAGACTCACGTCCCAGCTGGGAGCGGCCATATTGTTTTCTGAAACCATGGAAACCATCCCCTGCCTCGCCTGGGAGCAAAGACTTCTGGGAGTTGTAGTTTTATCCCCTCCCCGCTACCTCCTCTCAGGCCCAAGCTTTGAAAAGGCGGTTAGCTGTCCTTTTCTTCTTCCCAAGAAAGCATCACTTCTGTGCCCACGCCACCTGCTGACCAGTCACTCACCCACTCTGGGACCAGCCAAAGCCAATCAGACCCTCAGAATTCCTGCATCTGCACACCTAGGGTAGGGATTCCCCTTCTTGGCCCTTTAGCCCTTTAGTCCCAAACGAAGGGAGCACTCCAGTGTTTGTCAGCTTTATTTGGGGGTGCACTGTTGATAATCTGCCACCCAACTGGATTGCGTGGTACAACTGCTTCCTGCTTCGTCCCTCTCCAAAACTCTATGCTCATGGGGTCATCGCCACTCGCCCTTCCCAGCAGTGTTCTAGTGGGGTATTTAATAGGTAACCCAGACTCCCAGGGAGAACACCAGAGTTCAAGGCCAGTACCTTGGGCAGGTCATTTAACTTCTTAACTCCATTTCCTCCTTTGTGAAATGACGATGGTTCTCACTTATTTGTCCCAAACCCCTCATCTCCCATCAATGAGCTAGCTATTCTTCCATGGATTAGAAATTCATTTCAGGCAGGGCACAGTGGCTCACGCCTGTAATCCCAGCACTTTGGGAGGCCGAGGTGAGCAGATCACCTGAGCTCAGTAGTTCGAGACCAGCCTTGCCAACATGGCAAAACCCCGTCTCTACTAAAAATGCAAAAATGTTAGCCAGGTGTGGTGGCGGGTGCCTGTAATCCCAGCCACTGAGGAGGCTGAGGCAAGAGAATCGCCTGAACCCGGGAGTCAAAGGTTGCAGTGAGCTGAGATCGTGCTATTGCACTCCAGCCTAGGTGACAGAGCGGGACTCCATCTCCAAAAAAAAAAAAAGAAAGAAAGAAAGAAAGAAAGAAAGAAAGAAAGAAAGAAAAAAAAAAAAAAAAAGAAAAAAAAAAAAAAAGAAAAAAAAAAGAAAGAAAGAAAGAAAGAAAGAAATTCATTGCAGTACCCAGTTTCATTCCAAAACAGCACTACCCTTAGGAGGGTTAGGAATATGGGTCCCTCCTTAGTGAAGAGGTACTTCTAGTCAGGATGGGAAAACAGCTTGACTAACCGCGTGGCCTTGGGCACCTGATCAGACCTCTGCCTGGTTTCTCTTGGCTTTACCTACCTTATAGGGGCTTTGTGAGCATCTAAAGCATTTAGCACAGAACAGGGCCCCTATTAGTATCAGCTGGTACTATCATTAATGAGACAGTCTCAGTTCCAGCAAGAAGTGTTCTTTTTCACAGGAGACAAATGGAAGTAATTCGCCTTGTTGGAACCTGCGGTGAGGGAGCTGGGTTAAACAGGAGCACCTGGGCAAGCAGGCCATGCTCCCTCCTGCTCACTCCAGAGCAGGTGGGGCTTACTTGTAGCTTTCTGGTCTCCAACTCCAGGGTTCGGATTTGGGGTGGGAAGGTGGTGGCAAGGGGGATCCCAACTACTTTTTGTTGTCACTTCAAAGTCCTCAAGGCCTGGAGGGGATTCCTGAATGCCAGAAGTGCAGGCCAAGAGTAGAAGTCACACCCATTTCTAGTTTTAAAGTCATATATAGTGGTGTTGATTTTCCACAAGGGGCAATAACCAGGGCATGCCAGGGACAAGAGATGAACTGGATACTCCCCCATTAACATTCCCAGTGTTGGAGGAGAAACTTGGTGGTGAGGGCGGGCTGGGGCTGGGAAGGAAACACAGAAGTGATGTGCCAGCCTCAGGTGAGGTGGGAAAACCGGTTTGGGGCCCAGAGCTGCCAGCCTTGCTTAAGCCCAGGCCCTTCCCTGGTTGGAACCGCTGGGGCCTCAGTGAGGAAGGGGTAGGGAGGGGCTGGCTCTGAAAGGAAAAAGGGTAGGATCAGCAAAGGGACCTGACCTCACCTTTGTACTGGGGCCCCCCTGGAAGGCACTGCACAGGGAGTGACCAACTCATTCTCTGCCTCTTGGGGCTGCAATCTGTTCCTAGCAATTTCACCTTCCTCCTGCCACTGTGCCCAGAGGTGGCCACCAGGCTTGGAGATGCCAATCACTGAAAGGCCTAAAGGGCTCTCTCTTAAGGCACCAAAGGTAAACCAAAGGTGCCCTATATGCCCCTCCAAACTCCAATCTGGACCCCAGAAGCTGCCCCAACACTCCTTTCTGTCCTGACTTCGCTCCTGCAAAGGCCTTCAAACCAGCCTCTGTAGGCCTAGTCCCCATGTGCATATTGATTTGCCCCCAGAGACTGATGGCTCCCTCCCTCCTGCCCCAGCCAAGTGATCCCAAGCTTGAGGTCTCCTCCTGCCCCTCTTCGGGTCAGGGCCACCCTCTCCACTTGCCTCCATGTCCCACCAAAGCAAGGACCAAAGGAAGCCAGGACAAATATGTCCCCCAAGACAGACGCAAGCCCAGACCATGAAGGATGCACCCTTGGCTGTTAAAATGTTCACCCCCACAAAAGGGGAGTGGACAGATTTATTGAAATCAAACTGGGAAAGGAGCAGCTGGATGGCTGGACTCTGGGCCCAGCCCCAGGCCCCTCTGCCCAGGATGGGACCCTGCCAGAGAGGGAGGAGAGGCATGGGGCCTGCAGCTGCCCACAAAAGGGAAGCGCCCATTGTCACTCCCATGGTGGGGGACCTCTTGGAAACCTCCAATCTGGAGAGAAAACCAAGGGCCAAAGTCACATGGACAGGGCCAGAGAAAGGGACTGGGGAGGT